AAGAGTCTAGGCTCTGATACCAATTATTACCCAAAAGACAACCTAAGAAAAGGGGTGAATTAGGTTTTTACAATTAAAAATTAATAATACCCTAATAAAAATTATGACTAACATAATAGATAAATATAGTTAATGAAATAAAAATAATTAAAACAAGTGTTTTAGCAACTATGTCAGTTAATGATTTTAGTACAGTAAAAATGTGAAATATAGTTACAACAATTTAAATAAAATAAAGAGATAAGGGAGAGAGAGACAAACAAATTTATAATGGTTTGGCTTCAACTCTACCTACGTCCACTCCTCAAGTTTCACTTGAGATTTTCCACTATGCTCTAGCTTCACGGGAGTGCTAGCAACATTTTTACAAATACAGCAATCCTCCACGGATTTTACACACACGTTCTAAGTCAAGAACACTGAGTGTACTACACTCTTACAATGTTCAAAATAAGGTATTTTTACTTTCACAGAAAGCTACAAGATTTATCTCTCAAAGATAGATATAAAAATAAAACTCTGGTTTTTCTGTAAACCTCACATAGGAAATATGGACTTAAAACGATACGTCTCAGTGTATAACTTCTTAAAGAGGATGTAAACGAAAATTGAAGAACACTCCTCAGAGAATTTTTCAGAGAATAGATGTGAATGATTATAAATCAAAAAATATTTTCTAATTTTTTTGTAACTTGTTTGTATTAGAGGCTTTGGTATATACAATGAAACTTATAGCCGTTTATAGCAATTGTATTCATTTGAATTTATAGCTGCTTATAGCCGTTGTACTCCACCATTATTAATTTGAATATCTTCCACTCCATCATTATAAATTTGAATATCTTTCACTTGAACTTTTTGAACTACTGCTATGCTGGGCTGTTTGAACATTTGTTTTTGGATTGTTTGAACTCCTGATTTAATCAAATATTAAATACATTCTAACAACATTTAAGATAAAGGTTTAGGTGAGAAATAATGAGACAAAATAAATTTTGATTTTATTTTTCTCTTTCAAATAAATCATCAAAATATTTTGATTCTATGTTTTTTTTTTCAAATAAATCATCAAAATATTTTGATTCTATTTTTCTCTTTCAAATAAATTAAAAACATAATTAAATAAATCATCAAAATAAACAAGTCTAACAAATTTAACTTTTTTTAAATACCAATTTTGCCCTCATTGGGTAAATTACATTGACACTCTTCACATTTTAGAAATTACAATCCCCTCCCTAAGGTTTAAAATAACATTACTAATTGCCCTTTTGCTTAGTATTAGTTGGGGAAAAAAAATTCATTGAAAAAAAAAATTTAATTGAAAAAAAAAATTAATAGAAAAAAATTTTGTTAGTAAAATTTTTAAATTTCTCTTTAAAAACCAACATAAACTCATTTTTTGAATTTACATTTTTTTTCTCAAATTTACAAACTGAGACAACCATTTACAAACCAAAAAAATTATCAAACAAGTTTTTTATGACAATTTTTAAAATTTTTGTAAATATAAATTGAAAACTGAAACTGAAATAGTTACCAAACAGGCTTCAAATGGTAAAAATGTCATAAAATTAACAAATAGTTAAATAAGTTTTATCAAAAGATTCTTAGGCTATATATGATTTGATTTTTAGATTTTTTTTAAAAAATTAAAAATTAATCTGGTTAAGAAATAAAAAATAAAATATAATTATAATTTTTATATAATTTTTATCTTTTGAGTGGTTATTTTTTATTTTTTTAAAAAAAATTATTTCTTAGCCAGATTAATTATTTTTATTTTAAAAAACAATTATTTTTTATTTTTTATTTCTTAACCAGATTAATTTGTAATTTTTATAAAAAAAATTCTAAAAATCAAATCATACATAGCTTAAGAATCTTTTGATAAGTCATTTCTTACGTTGGTAACTTATTTAATTATTTGTTAATTTTATGACATTTTTACCATCTGAAGCCTGTTTGGTAACCATTTCATTTTCAGTTTTCAATTTATATTTACAAAAATTTTAAAAACTGTCATAAAAACTTATTTAATAATTTTTTTGGTTTATAAATGGTTGTCTCAGTTTGTGAATTTGAGAAAAAAACAAAAATTCAAAAAATGAGTTTACATTGGTTTTTAAATAGAAATTTAAAATTTTGACTAACAAATTTTTTTTTTTCAATTAACTTTTTTTTTTCAAATAAATTTTTTTTTCCAATTAATTTTTTTTTCAATTAAATTTTTTTCCAACTAATACTAACCAAGGGGGCAATTGGTAATGTTACTTTAAACCTTAGGGAAGAGATTGTGATTTCTAAAATGTGAGTGGTGTCAATGTAATTTACCTAATGAGGACAAAATTGGTATTTAAAAAAATTAAATTGCTGAGGGAGAATCTGTAATGAAACTTTAAATCTCAGGAAGAAATGTAATTTTCAAAAAGTAAGAAAAAAAATTATAATAAATATAAACCTCAGGGGGTGTTAGTGTAATTTATCCTTATTTCAATCTATAATCGGTGACCACTATACTTACCATTAACCTCCGCCATTTCAAATTTATTGCACAAACTCATATATGAAATTAAAGACTATTAGAATTATGGGCAAATTACATATACACCCCTCAAGGTTTGGTTAAATTACAGATACCCCCTGAGGTTTCGGAAATTACATCCCGCCCCCTGAGGTTTGTATTTTCATAATAATTTACCCCCTGAGGTTTATATTTCATAACAAATTACCCCCTAATTTCATTGGTAATGTTACTTTAAACCTTAGGGAGGGGATTGTGATTTCTAAAATGTGAGTGGTGTCAATGTAATTTACCCAATGAGGGCAAAATTGGTATTTAAAAAAATTAAATTGCTGAGGGAGAATCTGTAATGAAACTTTAAACCTCAAGAAGAAATGTAATTTTCAAAAAGTAAGAAAAAAAATTATAATAAATATAAATCTCAGAGAGTGTTAGTGTAATTTACCCTTATTTCAATCTATAATCGGTGACCACTATACTTACCATTAACCTCCACCATTTCAAATTTATTGCACAAACTCATATATGAAATTAAAGACTATTAGAATTATCCATTCAGTCTCTATATCGAATAGAAAAATTTTACCATCAACACAAAATAAAATTTTGGATAAATTACACTAATAGTTTCTATAGTTTGAAATTTATGTCACTTTGGTCTCTAACTTTTTAATTATGACACATTTGATCATGAATTTTAAATTATTCTAAATAAGGACAATTGAAAATATCATTGCTTAATTTAAAAGGCAAAATCGTTAATTTGATAAAATATAAACTAATTTGACAAAAATGAATGTCAAAAAAATATTTTTGAATTTTTAAAAATTATTTCTACCTACTAAAGATAAAATTATGTAAAATTGATAAATCTCTTAGACATTTATTTATTTATTTTACCAAAATAATTTTTATTATGTGTTTGCATGATGATCATGTAATGAGTGGTTGTTTTTATTTTCATTAAATTAGTTTTTATTTTTTTTCAAAAGTCAAATATGACAACGACTTTGATATCATTATTAAACTAATCTATTAAATCAAAAAATCCAAAACTAAAAATAATTTATATATTAAATATATCGATCACGCATTAAAATCCTAACAACCCGTATTATATGATCATCATCCAAACACATAATAAAAATTAATTTGGTAAAAAAATAAATAACTGTTTAAAAAATTTATCAATTTTACATAATTTTTTCTTTGGTTGGTAGAAATAATTTTTAAAAATTTAAAAATATTTTTTTGACATTTATTTTTGTCAAATTAGTTTGACTTCGGATCAAAAGGTGCTGATCAAAAAAAAAAAATAGTTTATATTTTATCAAATTGACAATTTTACCCTTGAAATTAAGTAATGATATCTTCAATTGTCTTTATTTGGAACAAGATTCAAATTCAGAGTTAAATGTGTCACAATTGAAAAGTCAAGGACCAAAGTGATACGAACCCCAAACTACAAAGACTTTTAGTGTAATTGGCCCTAAAATTTTACTCTAGTAATATTGTTTATTCAATTTTTTTGGTAATTTTTTTCTTTATTATTTTTACTAGTAATAGTAAAATCGTAGTAAGTGTGGTGGTTGGTGATGGTAATGATGATGGTGAAAATTTATTGTTTAAATATTAAATTAATGTAGTAAAATTTTATTGTTTATAAAATAGGGAACATAGAAGAAATCCTTTAGTTATTTTCCAAATGGTTGTGATAGTGGGGGTGGGGGCGCTCGTCGTCCATGTCGTAGAAAAATGATAGTCGGAGATTCATTTCGAATAGTATTAGTTAGAAAAATAGATGGTGGTGATTGATGGTCAAAAATCACTCTTCAGAAATGACTAGCCATAATCAGAAACAACCACCGAAAATAGCAGCCGTTGATCCAGTGGCTAGTAGTGGTGGTGGTGGTGTAAGGCAGTGGTAGTATGAGATGATGGGAGAGAAGACTAGTAAAACTTCAAATATTTTTTATCATATTTCTATTATATTATGATATTTATCATTAATAAATAAAAACCTTTTAGAGAGAGGGAATGATATTTATCATTAATAAATAAAAACCTTTTAGAAAAAACTTAAAAAAAATTTTGAGTTATACACTAACGTGTAATTTTTTGAATGTATGTTAGTAGGTAGGTTGGAGGTATTTTAGGTATTTAGAAAATGATTTTGTAAGAGCAAGGATCAATAATCAATAATTGAAATGAGCAAAGGTTACAACATTTGATTGAGTATATATGTATTGTCAAGCATTAAATTGTTATACAAAAGATGTACAACTTTGTATAAGCTAAAAAATAAAAGTCGTCATCCTTAGAATTTATTATTAATTTTTTTGTTTGGAGAAGTGAAACTGAGCTATCAACACTAAGCAATCCTCCTCCAATTTTCTAATGATTAATTTTTTCACTAATTTAAACTAATTTTGTTTCATATGAAAAAAAGAAAAGAAAAAATCACCAACACAAGACATTACGACAATAAAAGGTCTCACAGCTTGAAGCGCGTTAACAAGGTCACAAAAGAGGGACAAAAAAGAGCAAAATTAACTGCCATGAGCTAGGGTTTACACTGTACATATAAAATGAACCTAAAAAAAAACCAAAAAGACATATATATATATATTCAAAATAAAGAAGAAAAAAAAAAATATTATTTTCAGTCTTCAACGCTCACATCCATCTTTCGCGTCTGAGAATGAAACATTTCGGCTATATCTGTAGCTGTGCTACATTCCTCGGGCTTTCTATCTGAAACAGAGCGAACAAATCTAGGAAATCTGACAGAGATACCACGGGATGGATGAACTAACCCAACGGCAGCCTTGTGAACTGGCGATACTGTGAAGTCTGCACCTCTAATCTCCCATACAAGGTCCGGAGAAAACCACATATCTGGCACCTCCGCTGTTTGATAGTATAGAGGCTTCCTGGATAATACTCTGTCCGCGGTGAAAAACTCTTTCATCTGCAGAAATTATTTTTAAAAAACTCTGGTATTCTGCTAACAAATTAAATTCTTACCCATACAGGAATAGATGTTAGACCTTAATTCTAGTTTCAGATAGTTTGAAGAATGTGGGGTTTTAAAAAACTTAATAAACTTGATAAAAAAAGACACAGATATATCAACAGAAAAGAAAAGATTAATTACTGAAAACATGCATTTTTATTTGAATTGAACCGTGTCCCAAACCCAGCACTAGGATGTGACCAAATGCGAATTGCAAGTTCTATATAGATACAGTCTGATTTAATATCATAGATAGAGTCTGATTTACCTCTATGTAGAAAGAATCTGAGAAACCAGACATAACACGACATACACTTTGGAATTCCTGAGTATCAGGCTCATAGCATGCCATGAGGAAAGGACTGTACCTGAAATGACAAGTAACATCACAAACTGTAAAGTAATGTCAATGTCCAGAGAAGATGCTTGAAAATCTCAAAGACCCTATGGGGAGAACATTTCGAAAGCACATAATGATATAATAGTTACAATGGGAAAAAAAATTTAAAATCCATCTACATGAACCTTTGAATGTGATGATTTTATGATTTAAGTACTCCCGTTTTTCTCAAAAAGCACCCACAATGTAAGGATATAAAACGAAATAGAATCAACTCTCTAAAAAGTTGGTAACCAGACAAGCAAAGATGAGAAGAATGAGGGAGAATTGTACCATCCTGCTTTTCTACCATTCCCATGCCAAGCACCAATTGGAACCAGATCAAGGGAATCGCCAAGCCCTTCCACATAATCTCTCTTGACCTGCAAAATACAAGCCAGTAAAAATGACAGTTTAATTGTCTTTCAATGGACTGATTTTGGAATTTAACAACTTTCAATCATGCAGACCTTTAACCAAGAATCAGAACGTTTTGATGGAGAATAACCAGCATCCACATCAAGAAATTTGACCATTATTCCTTCGCACGAGGAACATATTGCATTGTCAAGAAAAGACTTCATCTTCGTTAGTGTGGATTCACTACTCAAACAAGCATCGTCTGCTTCTACCTACAAAGGGTAGCAAATTGTAGAAACAACTAAAAGCACAATGATCATCACAACAACAATCAAGATCAGCACTCACTGTTGTTTCCTTTGCGTATTCAAAATAACCCAACTTCTCATCACCAAACAAATCTTTTAAATCTGAAAAAAAAAAATATGTGCACAAGACAGGAAATAATCAAGTTCAGAACATGTGTATACATGACACATCCGGCAAAATAGAAGCGTACTTTTTTTTTGATAAATGCAAAATAGAGTGTACTTCATGTTGAAGGACACGAATACACATACATTTTCGTCTTTGGCGGAGGGGGGAATTTAATAACCTGTAACAGAGAATTCTTTTAGTGTTCCTGACCACAATTCTGAACTATTTGTAAATTGATAAAAAACTATTACACAAGGCAAAACATACTCATCGAAAAACCTAAACATAGGGCAATAAAGAGGGTAAAATAATAAGAAGAACCAAGCAGCCTTAAAATTTTAGGCTCTGTTTGGAATGGGTTTCGAACTATGAATCCACCTCTTTATTTGCGTTCGATGTTTGTTTATGGTTTCCAAAGTTAATTCCACACTCAGTTTTGAAAACTCTGCCAAAGGCGGGAAAATTCGTCCCAACCGGTTGTCCCACCGGTCGTCTGGCCGGTTGACCAGAATAGTGCAAATTATTATTATTATTTTTTATTTTTTATTTTTGCAATTGACATATGTTAATTATTATATATTCGAAGAAAATATTTTCCGAATTTTTAAATTTTTTTTATGTGTTTTAATAGAATTTTGAATTGTATGTTTGGTTATGAGTTGTAAGTTTTTGTATCAAATATCATATGTCACATCAAAAATTTTTCATTCAATTCAAAACTCTTTCACCAAACAAATTTTCTACACTCAAATCATAATTTCAAAACTCACAAACTCAAAATACAACTCCTACACTCAAATCATAGTTAGAAAACTCTACCAAACGCAACCTTAATTTCTCAGCAAAAAGAAGATACAAAATACACTTAAAGAACTTGATGGTAAACTAGGAGTCAAGTAGATATAAAAATGTCCGAACCATAAACAGAACCATTTTTGTTCCTAAGGTCCAGCCAAAATAATTTATATTTATTTTATGTGTTGAGGACCATAGGAGCCACCCAACACATATCCAACAAAGATGAACCAAAAGACAAAATACTTCAGAAACATTAAAAAGTAAACACCAAGTTTTGGGCAAAAAATACCAGGTAAAGCAAATATATGTGGATATAATAAATATGAGAAAAAAGTTGAAGAAGATTACTGCTCTCCATTAGAGAACATGATATCAAAGACAAACACACAAATGTCAACCTGCATGAACAAAAGATATTAGAATCCGATATAGGAATTTATAAACTACAAGAAGCAATGGAATTGAAAGAATGAAGACAATGAATATTGCAAGTTAAGACTCTATCCAACTATAGTTTTCAGAGTCATTTGAAGAAACTGATGTTCCCTTTTCTTTTGATGATTCTGATCCACTTTTACAAGTGCTGATTGTTCTTTCATTTTTACCCTTTTTATTTATTTTGTTTGAGCATATATGGCCCATACAGTACCATATGTCATTATCAACCCTCTTTTCTTTTCTCCCATTTTCCCTTTTGTCTACTCTGCACAAATTAGTCAGCCAAGTCCCCACCACAAAAATGTTATCACACATCCATAAATTTGCCAATTCTACTAGAGAGCATTAAAATCAAGGATCCCCTTCCCACCAAGCAGAACAAAAATATGCTAACATTCTCACATAGGGGCATTAATAAGACCATTAGATCATTCAAATTCCCCGAACCTTAGAAAAAAAAATTATGTTTTCAATTTATATTAAGGTTTATAAAGCTTTAAGCATCAACTTCTAATAGGACTACTTTATTAATAGGAAACCCCATAGCATATCAGACCTTTATGCTATCCACCGTAATCAAGGAATCTTTGCTGCCTCTCTCTCTGGAAGATAGTTCTTGGAAGGACAAAAGCTTGCGGCCATTCTTCCTATCAACAGCGACTACCTGAGACAATAAGATTACTCCTAGATAAAAAAAAAATCATTGGTATGGTAATGCATGGTGCACGATTGACAATGCAACTTGGAAGTATTCATCCAAACTAAGAAATCAGCAAACCAATCACCAGCCACAAAATCATATTGCAGTTTCCAAAATAGTTGTGATACCTCTGCATCCACTATGAAAGTTGCTGCAGGACTACATGATTCCTTGATTATATTCACCAAATCAGGAAATCTTGATGTTGTTTCATCCCCATTTCGTGAAAAGACACGCACAGATCCATCAGCCAATTTGTGAATTTGGGCACGCTGGCCATCATATCTGGAAAAATACACATGCTGAACAAGTAAGGGAAAATGTAAAATACTAAAACATGTTTAAGAAAAAAAAAGGGTGAAATGATCGGAATGTGCATCAAAATGTTCTGCACTCATTTGCATAAAACAAATGCTGCCTGCAAATCAAGCCTTACAAAAGGCCATTAACCAGTGTTCACTCTTTCAAAATCCAAGGTGCTGAACCCTCAATTCCAGCTAGACAGTCTCAGCTTTTACCATTGCATCAAGCAAAGGCCCATATAACTAATCATGGCGTCAAAAATACCATAATAAAGTTATAAACTAATTCATTTCCCCAAAACTATACTAAGCCGTATTCCCACATCACCTATCAACCCTAACGCTTTCTTATACCTCTTTGCCTTTAATTTAACACACCTACTACAACCCCCACCCCCACTGAGAGAGAAGTTCCCGAAGCCTACATACAATCTTTCTTCAACCTTGTTCAACCCTGAAATACAAGCCCTTCTTGACCTAAATTAATCAAAAACTCAATCATAGGAAGCACTATTCTTAGTTTAAGTATTTATATCAGTTGGAATAAAAAAGCCTATACAAGATTCTTCTTGTGCACTTACCCACTTCAAATAATGGCCTCAGTTGGACTTTCCACATGAGTGGAAGACCATGACAGCCACTCTCTAAAATATTCCTGTCTAACTGGTTCTTGTGAATCTTACAATAAATTTAAGCTGCCACAGGAAGCACAAAATTTTCATTTTGGTATATGAATTACGCACTAACTAAATGGAGTCCAAACAAGTACATTGGAAGTAATGAAACACTAGAAAGATATCGCAGTGGGGACATTTTAATTATGGATAAGGGACTTACTTATATTCACATGTAAAAGCTTTATTCTGAAATGTTTTCAACACTTGTGGAATTCCATTGGTAATTCTACAACAAAGAACAAAAAACACAAGAACAAGCTATCAATTAGTATTCCGAAATGATAGTGGTAATAATAGGAAGTAATGACAATAATAAAAATAGCAGTAAATAAAAAATTTATGTACTTAGCAAGCATGGGCTTGATCGGTATGCCTGGAACCATCGATAAAGTTGCTGAAGAAAATTCAATGCCTTTGTCCAAGAGACAAGGAACAAGCAAATCCTGATCACAAGAAATCAGTGTTCTTCAGTAATTAGTATGCATTCAGGAATTAATGCAACAATTTAGCTATGAGAATGAAAGGAAGAAACTGATAAATTACACCATAAACGCATACATAATACGTAACAGTTCATCGTTTAGTGACTGCCGCGAACAAGTTTTTATTAAAGTAGTGAAAGTAATATGCATGCGAATTAAAAAAAGGTAAACAGAGGCCTTCCCCTTTAACATTTCATATATAAAGCAATGTCATCACTGACTTATATGTCCATTGCTTTTTTTTTTTGATAAATACTTATATGTCCATTTTTTGTCATCAGTATATTCAAGGTTGAAGGTTCTGCATGTAATAAATAAGTAGTTTTCCTCTTCTGTTGTGGCCATGTTGTACTCCTTGTACTTCTTAACAAGGTTTTTCATCTCCAAAACCAAACAAAAAGAGAAAAGCTAAAGAAACAAAGACAACAACCGCCAGTTAAGGCAGCCAAAAATGAGAATGTGTCTGCTGCTTAGGCCCAAGTACGGTGCAACCCAAGCTAAAAAAGGTTCCTACTGTCCTTTCCTTTTCCCTACCCCAACATAGAGCATGGAACAAAGAAAAATGACAACTTGTAAATGAAAAATGTTAATAAATAAAATTATATCCCACACCAACAAATAGTTTCTGAAATAGATGATTAAATATTTAAAGAAGTTGCACGTTATAGTTAGACCCTAGAGTCAAATAAAGAGAAGCTTACCAAATTGGGAAGTATGTTATATGATTCAACCGTGGCCACTGAAAGGCACTAACAAAACACACAGACTGAATTAGCAACAGAATTGGACAACAACAATTAATTGTAGAAAAATCCTGTCATGCCAATATGTGGACGTCCATTACTACATCAACCAATCCAAAGACAAAAAAGGCCTTAAGCACAAATCAAACCAACCTGAATTCGTTCCTTTAAATTTTCAACTGTTCCTTCATAAAGAGATGAATTCATGACAACAGCTTGAGCTAATGCAGGTAGAACAGTTCTCATCATGGCTCCAATCCGTAAATTCCTGACCTATACATAGAAAGGATTTTCAGAAAGCCCTTCAGTTAGAAGAAAAATAGTAAAAGTCACATAATCATAAGAAAAAGAAAAAAAAATAATTTAAAAAAATGTGAAGATTTAAGAATCTTATTCTGACTCCTGATCATTCCATTACTCATTAAACAAATATACAGATATGACATTGACAACACAAAAACAAAAATTGAGGTGAACAAATATGTGCTCTTTGCCTGAAAAAATCTAGCAGACATGATAAACATATTAGCCGGTGTAAAACAAAAAATAAAATAAGAATTGTAAGACCACAGCTTTGTATTACAATCATATTTCACAAGCTATAGCAATCTCACTTGGCCAGGCGTCCGCAGCCAGAAAAGGTAATGGTGAGAATGGAAGTACTGAAGAACATAACACCAAAATACAGATTGGGTTAGTTTCTGGAGGGTAACTGGGTATCCTTAATTCTCTCATCCCTTTGAACCTATACCAGCTCCAAAAATGAAGTCACCCCTTGAATTCTTTTCGGTTGTGAGACACATCAAAATTTAATGCAAATCCCCAAAATGCAAATAAATAAATAAAGAAAAAAAAAAGGTGGGACTATTCCAAAAGAGAATACTTGCATTTTTCAAAAGAAGTCGTTACTTTAAGAAAATATGTACCAAAGTGGTATGAAATAATGGAACCATGTTCTATGCCATAATTTATTCTGAACAATCAACAATCATACTTGAAATCACACAAGATAAGCATAAATGCATCTTTAAGTTCTCTAGAAAACCAATTCCACAATAACTAACACAAATATAAAATCACTTCTCATTTTCCAACATTGTTTGTTTAAGGTGCAAAATATCATTATTTCAATCCATAACTTACCAAAGTTCTGACAAGAAACTTCATCTCCTTCTCTCTACAAGAACGCATGAGATTTACAATAAGGCTTTTCTTTCGAACGGTACTTCCACCACCTGTTTGTTCACTGACAATTTCTACATAAAAATAATGCGGGTGAATAATAATAGCTTACTTACAGGCAAGAACACCTCTAACACAATGTTTTATGTTTTTGATCTTACTAAGAGAAATAGAACTTTCAGACAAAAGCACGACCACCTTAATAGACAAAAGCCTAGTTTTCCACAGACACAAACTTTCCTACACAAACCGGTATCACTGAAAAATCTGCAAGCAAAAATCAAATTTCTGTTGAGTTTCAGCGTAAAAAATAAAGACACCTCTAAACTAAGCTGTGTGCAATCAAGTGAGGTCAACTATATGATGCCTTTTTGACCATTCTACTCTATCAAAGGCTATATGCTCAATTAAATTAAAAATGAAAATAAAAACAACTCTACCACCATAAAAATTTTCCTCAGAATACCAAGTACAAAAAAATTCTTCAAAGACTCAATCCTTCCTCTATTGACAATCAAATGCATCCAAGAGGTGGTCTTTGTTAATCGCATCAGGCATGTGGATGCTGGTGGTCTCCACACAGAATACACATTCTAGAGAAAAATGCAGTGATCATCACATAAGCAAGACAGGACAAAGACAACCTTTAGTATTCCCCTAAAAACTAAAAAGTTGACTTGGCCTATAGATTATTGTGAAATCCAATTAACAAACTCTCCATAGTTCAGTGTAACTTTTTATTGCCTTGACCACTGATTTTGTCAAATCTCTTCTATAGGACAAAAAAGACAAACAACAAAAAGGAGAAGGGGTTGAGGGAAAATAATTAACATTTATGTATTGTACACTCCATACCTTATCTTCCGAAGCACGGAAAATACACCTTGGATTGAGAGTGGCAGTGGAGGGACAAGTAGTGACTGTGTTTGTCGGCAAAGTTGAGCAACATCACCTTTATGCGGACCATATAATGGTCAGTACCATCACCAATTTGAAATTAGCAACAAAATCAAAACATAAAACAAATACTAAAACAAAATCCATTTCTTCCTACCAAGATCACCTAAGTTGTCATACAATTCCTTTATTTTAGATTTGTTGGTCCCGCATGCCTCTTCCAAAGCTGCCACAACAATACTTCCACCAATATTCAGTTCCTGCAATATAGTTGCAACCCAATTATACAATCTTCTCACATGTAAATGAATATCACCCCTTCACCTTGACCAATAAAATAGTATAATTGATAAATGAATTGTTTAGAATGTCGGTCATTTGGTGGGATGCAGCTTCAAACAAAAGGAGAAAATTCAGGAGCAAAACATAGTGAAGATCATAACAAATTAAAATAGGAACAAAAATAATTGGATGATGACAGAGAAAAGGGAAAAGAAAGGCAACACCTGTGCAACACTTGAATTTCATTTTTTAATTTTTTCCATTATCAGAAAAACATATCTGATTAAGAGGATGACATAAGATATTGCCTCTGAGAAGCACGGAAATGTGACATGATATGGACACGATACCGACAAGCCAACACAGAAATTTTTAAAAAATGTAGGATACGACACGTAAGGTACATGTTCAAAATATATAATTTTATATATCTATGCAATATATATGAATATTAAAGTCAAAGCTAATACTTTTTTAAGTATAAAGGAGAACAATAAGTATAAATTACATTGTTTTTGTTTTATCATTGGATTACAAGTTGTTTTATTCGAATTTGTAATGCATTTCACGATATAGTGTCGGTGCTTCATAGCTCTAACAAGCAATACAGGAAAAAAAAAAAAAATTCTCTTCAAAAATACTCAAGAAGAATACAATCCCCATGGTAGAGAGAGAGAGAATTTCTCATGCTTTAAAGACGTAGCCAAGCAGCTCCTCACAATGACCACAAGAGTTACAGGGAATGCAAACCTTCAAATTATTCAATGACACGTACAAAAGCAATAATGAGCTACAGCCTTTCTTATATAGCAAAGTCCTCAAACTGAACTAGAATCACAGCTTAGTGACACAATGGAAAAACATAACAAGACCTGTTATGAAAAATTTAGAAATTCAAAAGAAAAATTTGACCACCAACATGAAATGTTCGCAACGAAGAAAGGTCACAAACTAATCTACTCCCTGCCACGTCAACTTCTATTTGTTGACCTAAACTAAAACCATTCTCTAGAGCTTACAGAATTTAAAATCATTCCGCTATTTATAAAGCCATGCTCACTAATATTCAAGAACAGAAAAGAGCAAACTCAATTGCAGCTTGAGCAGATTGATTTTGGATACCCTTAGCTGAGTTTGACCAATTCCCCCATTCCCAATCAATGCCTTTGAACTGTATGAGTATCCACATACAATACTTTTAACTTTCCTTGATGTATCATTTTTTTTGGACATTTTCCCTAGTAGTGGAACTCTCAACATTTCCCCAGGTACTCTTTTCAAAAGTGGCTGGTCCCTGTGGCATAATCACTGTTTAACATCCCTCCACTAGCCATCTTTAACTAACCATTTTCTAATCCGAAGGTGTACGAAAGCAAATAGAGCTCCAGTACTACTTTCATCACCAATATTCTAATTGCTAAAATTTTCCTCTTTAAAAATGGCAAAGAACTTTATGTTATTCCTTGCCTACAGATTTTATAAAACTGAATCACATAATCATCCAATAGATTTGGAAAAAAAGCAGTCATAAGTCTCTTTTTAGCCTGTCCAAAGTTAAAGGACTTCACTCACTCATTATTACGGTATAAAATATTAAAATAAAAGAAAACATAAAAAATAAAAGTCAAATAAGATTGCAAACTATATAGCTATAGTCAACATCAAAATTCCAAATCCACAGGAGCATAGCCCATCATTTGATGGAAAATTGAAGACTGCTTTGCATTTGGACCAAAAATATATATATATATATATATATAAACTAAAGGGGAGAGAAAGAGAGAAGGAGAACAGAATAATGAACATTTTGTCATACGGCGATCAAAAAATTAATGGAAGGGAAGAAATCTAGAGACAGACGGAATTGCCCTAACCTTATTTTCATGGTCAGGAGCAATCTTATTTGTGCACAAGTATACAGCAGGCAGCACATCCTCTGGAGACAAGGCCAGCAAGCTGCATTTTAAGACAACACACACCAATAACTTTCACTGACTATCCTACCTATCCCCTTCCAGAAATGGACATTTTTTCAATAAAGGAGCAAATGAGAAGCAAAAGGACGCGGTGCATGAAAACAAAACAAACCTTCTAAACATATTACACAGCATTAATGCAGCTTTTTTCTTGCTCTTTTCATCCTCAACCAGGTCAAAAGTTCGTGCAACATGTATATACGGAGCAGGCTGTCCATGCCTCCAGCATGCTGCACGTGTATCCTTGAGTTATTAAATCTTCTCCAATTGGAGAATAAAATAAAACATAAATGATTTCAAGAAGGCAAGTATTTAAGTATTTTGTTATTCTATGACTAGTCAAGGAAAATCAGCAGGTTATTTAGCTTCTGATAATCAAACACCAACCATGCTCTATAGGAGAATATTTTTCTGGTGGTAGCGATACAAGAGTCTTAGTATTCTCTGGTGAAAGCCCTGGCACTGGTAAATTGGTCATGTTTCCTAATACCTCTGATACCATTTTCTCTTTATCGGAAGAGCTTTTCAAATTACTGGGTTCAGCCTGGATAGATCTTCTACAGTGTACCGACCTATTTTTGTTCTCCCCAAGGTTACCCTCGGGATTACTATAATATTTATCCAGTGCCATATTTATGTCCCCTCTTGTCTCCTCTAGGATAGTGGCAACATAAGTTCTCAATGATTCACTCCCATTTATGATCTGAATAAACTGGTCTACGTCCTCTTTGTACAACTCAGTAGAATCACTTGGCAACATTTTTTCATCGTTTGGGCATTCCTCCAACAAAGTTTCGCCGTCAGCACAATGAGAAACCTTAGGTGCAAGTTTAGTGAAAAAACTTGTTATAGTGGGTTGCTTTGAATTACGAGATTCCAGACTTGAATTTCTTCTTGCTTTCTTGTTAGGCAGTTGCTTTGAATTACTAGATTCCAGACTTGAATTTCTTCTTGCTTTCTTGTTAGGCTTATTATCCACATTTCTCCTCTTTTTACCAGGAGAAAGACTGCTCTTAGTTACATTCCTCATGCTGGGTGATTTAAAGATTTGACCTAGAGAAACATTAGCATTTCTAGGAGGGCTGTTAACAGAACATGGTTTAGCAAGTGATGCAGATTCATTAAGTGGGTTGGTCTGCATTGTACTAGCAGATGAAGCAAAAGTAACGACCTGCTCATGAAACTCAGTTTCACGCTCATAAAAATTGGAAACTGCTTCCACAATATTTCCACCTGAGCCACTAAGCAGATCAAGCATCTGGTTTTCAGTGACCCAAGCAGGCAAACAGTCCCGAAGTTGTTGAATCAATTCCCCTTTTTCACTGTCACTCAATAAAGCCACATCTTGTGTACCAGGTTCCTGACAAGAAGATGACAAGTCTACTACAATCCTCTTATCAATTCCATTACTTGGTTCAAGTTCAGGTGATTGGATCTTGTTCTGGACAGCACCGGTATCCTTCTCAACCTTGCCATCTGTTTCCTGAAGCCGACCATGAAATCCCATCAAGAATTCTTGTTTGACGGCCATTTCGTCAACCAAACCAGCAAAATGCTTCCGCATAGAATTGGCATGTTTGCTGTCTAGTTTCTCAACATCCACACCTACTGTTGGAATGACACGTTTTGGTTTCAAAAACCTCACATACTCTCTGAGCTCATCATAATTCGAATGTTCACTATACGGTACAAGATGTATCTCAAATGCATCCTTAGTCCTTACTGCAAACTTGTTACGCTTTACTTCATACGTCCACCCCGTTGGAACAAAACCCACAACCTTAGAGTACCCTTTCTCATCCATAATCTCTTTCATCTTCACAAAATTGGGTCGGAAATATGGCCAAGTCTCACCCAACACATTCCACCCAACAACATGAACATCGCTTTTAGATTCTTCCTCGGTGAACACTTCATCTTTTCCAAATCCCAAAACACACAAAATAGCCATTTTTCTACCATCCACATGTATCTTTCGATTACACCTACGTGAAATTTCAAGTAAAATCTTCTCCTTTCCAATAACATAAGTAGCCACAAGAAACAAAACAGACTTCATAGAACCCTCATTTTCAACCCCAATTCTCTCTATCACACTAACTATATACTCAATTGATTCTTCTTGCGATGGAAACATAAATTTCGGATTACAATAAGTGGTATCCAAAAAAACAGCATCAGAACCAACAAATTCACTCAAACCCAGCTCTAATTTCATCGAATCACAATACCGAAAATCACCCGTGTGCACATACCTCTCAATCTTGCCGCCAATACCCGGAATTTTAAACAAAAACTGAACCGCACCGGGACAGTGATTCGCATCAATAAGCATCACTTCACACCCATCAATAAAAACCGATTCAGATAACGACAACTCAACAACAAACAATGAGGGTACTTTGAGTACCTGAACGAGGAGGCGAGCAGTGGTGTGGGAGCAAAAGATGACGCCTTTGGACCAATTGGGGGTGAGGCCAGTGTAATGGTCGGAGTGGAAGTGAGAGAGGAAGTAGGAGACGGAGTGATTGTCGGCGAATTTGAAGCCATCGATGATGAAGCGGGTTTTGGGGATGAGTTTGGATTGGGGGAAATCGGGGGGGATTGGGGGAAGAGGAGAGTGGTTGGAGAGGAGAGAGAAAGAGAAGGGTGGAGGGGTTAGGGGGGGTTGAAGAGAGAGAGAGTTCTGAGCGTTGAGGAAGAGGGTTGAGGAATCTAGGGTTAGGGTTTTGGAGGACATTTGTTGATCGTGAGAGTATATGAAGAAGGTGGTGATAATGAAGAGCGGGTGATGATGAAGAGAGGGAGCATTTGACGATTGGTCCGTCTGGTGTCTGGTAGTTTCAGTTGTAAAATGAGAGAATTTTATTTAGGGACATGACAATTTAAAAATAAAAAATAATTGAGATTGGTAAAGTTTATAAATTTAATAATTAAAATGTTACAAATACATCGAACACAATTATTAAGATTTATTTAAAATATAAATTGTCTCATATAATTTTAAAAATTATATCTCGCCTTTTAAGTTTTCAATACAAATGACATGTTTTTTTCAATAAATCATTAAGTTAATTACTAATAATTTTTAATGGTGTTAAAAATATATTTCAATTAATTATTTAAGTAATTTTATTATTGTATAGAGGAGTAGTTAGAAATTTAGGTCAAGTTTGACAACTCTTAAAAAATCTAAAAAGTCAAAAAGTCATTATCCTATTTAAATCGCATCATCTTATTTAAGTCACATCACCTCTCTAACATATCACTTCAAACCCAACCCAAACTCAACCCATATTTCATAAAAAGTCAAAAAGTATACTTATTTAGTCTTCCCAAAATTGGCCTTAATTTTTTCTATTAATTTATTACATACAAAATTAAAACAATGAGGTATTTATAATTTTTAAAATTATAGAGACAATTCGTATTTTAAACAAATCTCAAAAATATATTTGTATTTTTTATCCTAAATTATTTTAAAGGACTACCACTAATTTATAATTTTTCTTATTAATAATTCACTGTTTAATAAATATGATTGGGACTTGGGGAGAAAAATGTGTCCCATTTAAACTTTTGATCCACAAATGTAAGTTTTTAAAAATTATCCAAAATTTTCATAATATTTATGTTGGTGTGAGTATTATACGGTGTGAGTCTTACACTTATGTAAATATTCATAAAAAAAAAGTAATTTTTTTTTAAATTCCTAGTATTATTCTTTTTCATCAAAAATATAAATAAAAAAAAAATCAGTGTGAAATGAGGTGAGGATGGAAGAAAGTCACATTTAGAGGTTGTTTAGGATGATATAAATAAGCGTATTTTTTGACTTTTTATGAAATATGGGTTGGGTTTGGGTTGGATTTGAAGTGACGTGTTAAAGAGGTGATGTGATTTAAATAAAATGATATGACTTAAATAGGATAGTGACTTTTTTACTTTTTTCAAACATGTCAAACCATGCCTTATAATTAAACATAAATAAATAAACTGGCAACATTGGATTCTTAAAATAAACATAAATAAATAAAGTAAATTACATTATATAGTAAGGCTCATAACTTTAGCATAATTATATTAATTCTTTTAAAATTTTAATTCATATAATACTTAATTTATCATTTATCAAAAATTTGTTATTCATATTGTACGGGAAATAAATAAACCTTCTCGTATAATCCTGTTGACCAAGTCAGCGCTCCTCCGTACGACGTCGCCTTATCACCTGAAAACACAAAAGTGAGCTAGCCGGCAGGTGTGTGCCGGAAACCTCTCCGATGCCTAAGTCAGTAAACTTGACAAATAGACAAAAGCTCTGTGTATTTAGAAAGCAAAGTTGTGTGTTACCTCTCCCAAGGTGATGTTTGTGAGCTTTTATAGGTTTCACGTGGCATAATCCTAGTGGGACTTCTACTCCTCCATGTAGAGTCCTCCTAGGATTCATACTCCTGTAGGGTAATGCTTATCATTTAACACCCCCACTGCTTAAACCAAGTGGGATGGTTTTTACTATGGCCGAGCTACCATATGACCGAAATAAAACTACCATACTATACAGGCGGGTATGGCCGATCTGACTACTAGTTCGGCTCTTCCCTTCCTTGCTTCTATCCCGGCTGCGAATGCTAAGACCGAGCTATCCATAGAAGTGTCAAGCCGAACTAACTCAAACTTCCCTGAAGTTCTCTCACTCTGGTTAGAGGTGATGACCGGGCTAATCCGTAATATACCGCAACTGAGCTACCCCAAAGCCTATCTGACAACCGAACTAACCGTAGTACTCCTTTTGACCGGTGTATCCACTGTCTTTCGTATTTGGACCTATCTCGGCCCAACACCCAGCTTGGCCCAATTTATATACATAAATTACCCTCTCACACATGAATAAAAAAAATAACCCCATTACTAATTTTAAACTGAAATATGTATTTTATTTAATTTATTTTTATATTTTTATACTATCTACATTAATATTGTTGCCATTAACTTTACTAAATGGAGAATAAGTTAATATAATTATGGTAAAATTATGAAATTTATTATATTTTCTTTAAATTTAAAGATAACTAAGTTTTAAGGGTAAATTACAAATACATCCCTTGAAATTTGCTTAAAATATGAATTGTCCTTTATGGTTTGAAAAATTATAAATACCTCATTGTCAGAATTTTTTATTTAACAGAATTAATTGAAAAAGTAAAATTTATAACTGTCCACCTATACAATAATAAAATTATCTGAATTATTAATTGAAATAAAATTTTAATGTTATTAAAAATTATTAATTAATTTGATAATTTATTAATAAAATGACTTATTTGTTATGAAATTAAAAATCTTAGAGGGCATAATGTAATTTCTAGAACCACAGAAAGTAATTTATTGAAATTAAAAACTTTAGAGGGCATAATGTAATTTCTAGAACCACAGAAGGTAATTTATAATTTAAGTAAATCTTAGAGGGTGTGTTTGTAATTTATCCAAATTTTAAAATTACTCTTAGGTTGTTTTTGATTTATGAATTTGAGGAGAAATTTAAAAATGAAAAGGAAAAATATGTGTAAAATTAAATTAAATATAAATATATTTTTATTTATATTTTACTTACCTTTTTTTTTTTTCCTTTTCATTTACAAATTACCCTTCTAAATTCTTGAACCAAACACAATCGTGATGTTGGCGTAAAGGGGTTAGGTTCATTGATCGGGCCCAATATGGAGGTCCCTAGACCTGGCCTGACGATGGATTCTACTGGACATAGGCCTTATTATTGGGCCTGGCTCGATTGATCCATTAGTGTCGGCCCAAATCTTAGCTTATCAAAACTAAAATATGTCTCAGAATGTTTAATTTAAATTAATAAATTTTAATTTCTATTATATCCTAATATGAATTTACTAATAAGGATAACACATACTAAATTATAAAATAATTTTTTTTTCATGTTACACCCTAATCAATTATTCTTATTACAATCTCTATATCTTCTTTCCCAAGAAATCAAAATTATTTATTCTCCTTCTTCTTTTTTCTCCTTTCAAAACTTTAATCAATCCTATCAAAACTCACCATCATTATCAATATCATTGTTTTTTAATTATTTTGAAACCCAACCCTACAAAAAAAATTTAAACAAAATAAAAAATGGATGAGAGTAATAATGAAAATAATTTTTTGAAGCAACCCATTAAAAAGGAGATAAGTATTCATATAAAGAAATTTCACAATTTTTGTAAATAACTATCAATTATTTTCTATATCGTTTTTTTGACAAAAATTAAATGGCCCAGTAATTAGATTAATAATACATATTATTGGAGTTTTTCTTATTTTGTCATTTAAATAGTATATTATGTGAGAATTACTCTTTCTTGTTAGTGCCTAATATTTATGTGCTTATAAGTTTGGTTTTTATTTTTTCACGAACATTCTTGTGGATAATTTATAATGTAAAAGTGTTTTTTTTTTTTGTATTGAAAAGTTTTATAATGCTTATGTAAAAGTTTGGTTTTTTCTGTATTTATAATGCTTATGTGCTTATAAGTTTTTTTTTTTTGGTATTGAAATTTTTTAAAAATAATTTAACTTTTTTAGTTTATCTATTATTTATTATTTGAGTTTACCTTGAGGGTAATTTGAAAAAAATAATAAGATGTAATGAAAATAAAATAAAAATTTAAATAATTATTCAGGATGTATTTAAAAATTTAGAGTACCTAATGAATTTTTAAGTGTAAATAAAATCTCCCAAACTACCTCGGGTGAACACAAATATACAAGACATTTGTTCTCCTGCCACTTTTTAATATACAATTTGATGAGAAATTTTTGAGAAAATTGTAGAATAGTCCCGAATATCATGGGAAATTATTTTGATCAATAAAAAATTGTAACATATATATTAAATAAATTATTCATTACCTGTTAATTAGTTAATAAAATAGGACAATATTGTTTTATCCATTAAAAAATTTCATTACGCTTTAGCTTATGGACAACCACCTAGTATTCCTAGAATACCCAATAGTATTCAAAGTGTAAAGGGTAAATTATTACTGATTGAAAAAAAAGAACGAGACCAGAACAGGGTGTAAAATCGACCTACGACTCACTAGAAGCCCGCTCAGGCCCGAGTCCAGTCTGTGACCTTCGGCTTAGATTGTGTGTTTAACTTAAAGCCCGTCCTGATTGGTCTGGTCCACTTGCCCGAGACCCAGGCCTGATCCATTTGAAATCCAGTATCATTTTCAAACTAATTTGGTGAAAAAAAAAAACTTACAAATGGTCATGCCCGGCCCAAGTCCGCTCGAATACCCTTGGATTGAGATTTTGAGTGAGTGGCCAGTCTGTCCCAACCTAATTTTTGGATGAAGCCCGCTAGGTACGATAGCAGGCCGGTTCGAGTCCAGACTTGGGTAGGCCGGGTCATTTTTACACTCCTAGGTAAAGTACAATTTATCCATGTAAATTTTAAATAGAAAAAATTATAAAATAAAAAAATTCACTCTTATAACAAAATAAATTTTGAGCTTTTAATTTTATCAATTTAAATTATAAATTTTTAATTTATTTTCAATCATGATTTGCTTATTTCTGCAAAGTAAAATTGATAAGAAAATGTATTTTAACCATTAAATTTAGGGGTGGTTTGGGATGATTTAAATAAGTGTACTTTTTGACATTTTATAAAATATAGGTTGTGTATAGGTTGGGTTTGAAATGATATGTTAGAGAGGGGATGTAACTTAAATAAGATGATGTGACTTAAATAGGATGATATGACTTAAATAGGATAATGACTTTTTAACTTTTTGATTTTTTTATATCATGCCAAATAAGGCTTTAATATAAGTTTATAAAAAATATCTAAAATATTATTTTTCATTGAGTTTAATAATTAAAATATGTGTTTTTCATCATTTTTATTTAAAGAAAAGTGCAAACGACTTAAATTGAAAATAAATAAAAAATTTTAAATTTAAATTGATAAAATTAAAAATTTAATATTTATTTTGTTGCAAAAATCAATTTTTTTAAAAAAATTTAATTTTATTATTAGAATTGTTGTTCTTGTAAAATTAACATTTTTACAGTGCCGCAGCAGTGACGTGGCAATAGTTAGTTAGTTTTGAACCAGTCTGGAAGCCGAGGTAATAACATGTCTACCAGAAAAACCAGCTCCCATAACTAACTTCCTCCATGAATCTCGGTAACTACCTCCCCGCCAAATCTCCCTCAATCCTAATCGCTATCGCCTCCCAATTCGGATCAACCCCATACCAATTTCACTCTCTCTCTCACTCTCTTTCATATTATATCGCCAATTCTCTCACTCTCTCTCTCTCCCTCCCTCTCAAACTCCCTCTCTCTCATGGCTTCTCGAAACCTCTTATTCTCTCTCCTCCGTCACTCCATCAAGCCCCGAACACCGTCTCTTCCATCTCGCCCTTCTCCGTTGGGCTTCCTCTCCAATCGCGCGGTGGATTACGCCACTGCCGCCGCCGCAGCTACAGCTCCGCCGTCACCGTCGCTGTCGAAGAAGCAGGGGAGTGGTGGTGGGAAGGAGACGAGTGAGTTAACGGGAGCTGGTGGACTGGGCCGTGTGTGTCAGGTGATCGGTGCTGTTGTGGATGTGAGATTCGATGAGAATTTGCCGCCGATCTTGACGGCGCTGGAGGTTGTGGATTTCCCTGTGAGGGTGGTGCTTGAAGTGGCTCAGCATTTGGGGGAGAACATGGTCAGGACTATTTCTATGGAAGCCACTGAAGGGCTTGTTCGGGGACACAAGGTCTTCAATACTGGTGCTCCTATTACGGTAAATTTACTCTCTTTTTTTTTTTTTTTTTTTTTTTTTTTTTTTTTTTCGTTTCTAGCATTAATGAACTGTGATTCATGATTGTAGAGAACATGTTTGCAAACAAAAAGAGATGATAATGATTTCAAAAAAATTGAATGCATTTATAATTAGCTATCTAACATGATAACTTGGTATCAGACTAATTAGATTAACTAATTTAGGACCAATCTCGTTGTTGTCCAGTTAAAATCAGTACAAAGCCCAGTATGGACTGGCCTCAAAAATTGTTTACACCTACGAGATTTCAAAAGTGATACCTTTGAGGGCCAACTCCTTGGGGTTAAAATTGCGATGCAAATTGAAGAATGTAGTTTGGGAAAGATTTTATTCAACTGGTATAAAGTATAAAAGAGAGCAATTTTAATTTTTTTTTAGAAAAAAGAAGAACAAAATGGAAAACAGTTTTTCTTGAATAAATATATATCGTGCCCTTCGTGACACTTTTGGTTGAAGTTTAACCTAATGGTGGTGTTGATATAATTTAGCATTAGTCAGACTCAGAACACACAGTGCTTTCCTGATAGTTTCAGTAAAATTTAGAACAGTTCATGTTTTATGACTTGAATGTCATGCAATTGCTTTCATGTTATTTAATTTATTTAAATTTGTTATGGATACATTGTCAAGTTGTGACAAACTTGGGTGGATTCCTGTACTAACAGTCCATTTCAGGATGTGAAGCATGTTTATCTTTTCAAATTTTGGCGCACATTTATGCTTATTTTTTTAATTATCCATGTCTTCTGATGATTTTGGTTATCGTCATCGTGGGATTGTTATCCTTCTTATTGTGCATCATTTTAATGTCCAGTAAGATCCAAGATTTTTATGCATCTTACCCTGCAAACTTACTGGTTCTGCATAATAGGTTTTCTAATGTCTTACTTTCTATTCTTTGTCATGCATAGTCTTCTACTTTATAGCCTCGAAGGTGATGATACTTCTTTGTTTATCTTTACATTTGGGTTTGTCTACAGGTGCCGGTTGGCAGGGCTACACTTGGTCGTATTATGAATGTTATTGGAGAAGCTATTGACGGGAATGATGAAATAAGTAAGATTATATAGAAGTTCCCATTTTGTATTTCATGTGGAGTTGCATTAAATGTGTTTTTTTCGTTTAGTTTTTATTTGATTCTTTGTTTTCAATCCCGAAGAGTCCGAGCACTTTCTTCCCATCCATCGAGAAGCTCCAGCCTTTGTTGAGCAGTCAACTGAACAACAGATCCTTGCCACTGGAATCAAGGTGATTTTTGTCCTGAGTTCGTGCAGAACTTTTGCATTTCAAATCTATATACATCATTTATGGAGCATTTATCTGTGTATGTTTTGGAAAGTTTTATTTGATGCATCTATAATATTTCATAGGTTGTGGATCTACTTGCTCCATATCAAAGAGGTGGGAAAATTGGGCTATTTGGTGGTGCTGGTGTTGGGAAGACAGTGCTTATTATGGAACTAATCAACAATGTTGCCAAAGCTCATGGTTTGTTTCTGCATTCTAGGCAAACTTTTGTTTGTTTTACTTTTTATTTTCATGCTTATTCATCTAAATGTTTATTTTCTTTTCAACCAGGTGGTTTCTCTGTGTTTGCTGGTGTTGGTGAGCGCACTCGAGAAGGCAATGACTTGTATAGAGAAATGATTGAGAGTGGTGTTATCAAGCTTGGTGATAAGTTGGTTCGTGCTGCCAATTCGTCATTTCAACGTACTTTTCCTTTTTGGTTCTTTTGTGCTTTTATAGATGTTGTCTAAAAATGGTAACATTTTCAGGGTGAAAGCAAGTGTTCCCTTGTGTATGGTCAAATGAACGAATCTCCTGGTTCTCGTGCTCGTGTTGCGCTTACAGGGCTGACAGTAGCTGAGCACTTCCGAGATGCTGAAGGGCAAGATGTACTTTTGTTTGTCGACAACATCTTCCGCTTCACTCAAGTAAGGCTTCTTATCACAATTCTCCTTGATGATCTGTTCTTCTACAGTATTAGAGTCCATTAACTTGATTGTCTCTTGTTTTTCTTGTTCCTCAGGCCAACTCCGAGGTGTCTGCCTTGTTGGGTCGCATTCCATCTGCTGTCGGTTACCAACCAACGTTGGCTTCAGATCTTGGTGGCCTTCAAGAACGCATCACAACAACCAAAAGAGGATCAATCACATCCGTCCAAGCTGTGTATGTCCCTGCTGATGACTTGTCAGATCCAGCCCCTGCTACTACTTTTGCCCATCTCGATGCAACAACTGTGTTATCCCGACAGGTTTTTTTTTTTGGGCGTTCAAATTCACATGTAGTGATCTATAAATATGCTCTATGATTTAATTGTTGTATTTTTTTTTTTTTTTGTTATTAGAACGCATCACAACAACCAAAAGAGGATCAATCACATCCGTCCAAGCTGTGTATGTCCCTGCTGATGACTTGTCAGATCCAGCCCCTGCTACTACTTTTGCCCATCTTGATGCAACAACTGTGTTATCCCGACAGGTTTTTTTTTTGGGCGTCCAAATTCACATGTAGTGATCTATAAATATGCTCTATGATTTAATTGTTGATTTTTTTTTTTTTTTTTTGTTATTAAATGCAGATTTCTGAGCTTGGAATTTACCCTGCTGTTGATCCCCTAGATTCAACGTCTCGGATGCTCTCTCCTCATATATTAGGACAAGAACATTATGAAACTGCTCTTGGCGTACAAAAGGTTCTCCAGAATTACAAGAATCTTCAAGATATTATTGCCATTTTGGGAATGGATGAGCTTAGTGAAGATGACAAACTCACTGTTGCACGTGCTCGTAAAATTCAAAGGTTCCTGAGCCAGCCATTCCAAGTTGCAGAGGTGTTCACTGGCGCCCCTGGAAAATATGTTGAGTTGAAAGAGACTATCACAAGTTTCCGGGTACTTAGAAGCTGTTTACTATTTTTTTTCCCTGATTAATGCCAAAAAGAAATTTTTTTTTTCTCACAAACTCTCAAAATCTTCACATTTCCCACAAAATTTAAAAAAATGAAAAAATAAAAAAATTCTAGCATTCCATTTGATCCATAAGACCAAAAAGAGTTGCGTGAAGCATGCACATCCAAAGCGTCCATGTTTGAACCAAAGTCTCTAAAATCATTACATAACAAATGCTCACAAGAGGAAGGGATAACCCAATCAACCTTCACCCAATGAATTTTATTTTTATTTTTATGGGTATTCATATAAGTCATAACTGCTCTATCTGTTTGTGTTTTGCATTCTCTTGTGCATCTTTGGGAGTTTTTCAGTTCAAATGTCTAACGATATAGTGGAACATAGTTAAGGGTATCACCCGTGGTCGCTAATGCATTCTTTTGGCAGGCTGTTTTGGATGGGAAATATGATGACCTGGGAGAGCAAGCATTTTACATGGTTGGGGGAATTGATGAAGTTCTTGAGAAAGCCGAGAAGATTGCCAAGGAGAATGCATGATTATTTGATCTTTTTGCTTCTTTATTTGTTAGGTAAGTTAAGCTATACTTTTAGTTGTTGGCGGTGTCCAATGAGAGCTGGGTTAGCCTACTTGTTTTCTGGAGATCAACTGTGATTTATATCCTCATTTTTGTTTTATTCTTAATTTTGTTTTATATAAATTTATTTGCTTCATAATTGGATACAAGCAAGTTACTGGATTGTCTCTTTGAAAGTAATAATTAGATTATAATTGGACTTTTACTTTCATTTTCTCTTTAATGCTCTACTAGTCCTCAAAGGCTATGTCCACCAAAAGGGTTAATAGGAATTTTTTTTTTTTAGAAAAAGGTTCACAACAATCACAAAGCCAAGCTGAATCATCAAGGAGTTGTTTGGTATTTTTTTTCTTGTCTTCTATCTTTGTTTTAAAAAATTTTAACATTGAAAACGAAACATAATGTTTGGTACAACATTTTTGTTGCCACTTTAGCTAAAAAAAATTGAAACTTTTGGTAACGGAAACAATTTGTTTCCTCTTGTTTGGCAAAATATCTTTCTACCACCCTACACAAAACAACATAACGAAAATCATAATCAATCACCATAAATTTAGCCGATGATACACAGAGGGATCTTATTATTGAAAAGGCACACCACATCTGTTATTAGTCAAACCTACAAAATAATTTCTCCACCGATAGAAGCATGATATGCTTGTGTAATGCAAGTGAAGCATAACTAGTAATTCCACAGAAACACAAACTGTTTTTTTTTTATTTTTTTATTTTTTTATTTTTTTTTATTTTATCTAAAGGCATCATCAGAAATTCATGCCACTTTGCTCTTCAGAAGGACAAATATGTTCTCAAGCGACTTGTATTCACCGCGTTGCGAAAAGATGGGCAACTCTACTGCTTTCTTGTTGAATGTGTCGAACAGCTTGTCGATGATCTGATCATCACTTCCAAAGTGCTGTTTGATTACCCCTTCCCAGCCAGCTCTTAAGTGCAGAACTTTATGCTCTGGAGACATTTCTTTTGCTGGGGCATGAACCAATGCTTCCAATTTCTCAATGCTGAAACACCCATTTCTCTCTATCAGGGTCTGCAATTCCTGGAGAGTTGGATTGTATAGGTTGAAGGTGTTCACTTTATCTTCATCCCCCAATCCCTTCAAAAAAAAAAAGAAGTTAATTATAATTAATTAATTAATCTGAGTAAAATTCAAGAAAACAGTTATACACGTGGTACTGGTACAATTTTTATGATGTTTTGTTATAGATGACTCTCAGAACTCAGTGCAATTTCATGGAGAGAGAAACCGGGGTTGAACCTCAAATGTTTACAAACAAAGCTACTCGTGTTTGTTTCACTTGTTAAAAATTCGTTTGAATTTGACTCATTACGTAAATAAGTAAAATTTGAACATATTTTGAAATTCGTTAATTTTTAAAGTCACCTTGAACCTGGCTCAATGACCTCACACATATATATAAAATGTGATTTAGTGCATGAGGTTACCGCTAAAACATGTCATACAACATAACCTCCCTTTCTAGAGAGGTTGTGTTTGTGACTCAATAAATTTATATGCACTATAAAAAATAGAAGGTTGGCTCGTTTACAATTCTAATTAAGCTGGCCATATGTTACAATTCTTTCCCCCAAGTAAAAAGGGTGTATTTTTGAATTGAGTAAAAGCTTTTGTTACAACATGAATTATGACGCGTAGTTTTTGGTGACAGCAACAAAAGCATATTATAGTTGTCCTTTCTCCAATAAGACTTTACGTTCCATAGATTATTTTCAAAATAAGAAGAGGAAACTCATGGCAAATGTACTTTGTTGAATTAGTAGAGAATCAAATCAAACTATAGTCTTTACCATGCTGGCCATGTCATTGAGGGTGGCTTCAAGAAGTTGAATAAGTACCATGAGAGAGAAGTGAGAAGGAGGTGTGCCAGAAGGGTGACAGGGGACAACAAGTGCCATTAGACCTCCAGGGACAAGCTCCAATGCTCTGGCATTTAAAAATGACTCCATGTCCTTGGCAAATTGAGCTTCATAAGCCTCAAAAACTTCTTTCGGAGCACCTCGTAATAGATCCTTCCTTTGTTCCACGCAGGCGATTGCTCGTCAACCAACTTTGGAGGGACCTATGTTGTGAATACAAATAATAAAGTTATTGGTGGTTAATGATCCAACATGAAATTGGAGCAGGGTAAGATTTTGTGTTCGAATCTCACTGCCTACTCAATAATTAAAAATTTGCATGTATTTATAAAAGAGAGCATGGCGCCACATATTAAGAATATAAATAGGGTTAATTACACTTAATATCCTTACATTTTTACCAATATATTACTTTGATCTTTTCACTTTCAATTATCAAAGTGAACTCCTTACACTCTTAGTCAAGTTGTGATGATACCTTTCTGTCTATTTCTAGTTAATGAAGCTGACGAAACTTAAAAGCGAAATGACTGAGGTGATATTTTGATGAAAGTGTAAAGGTTATAATGAGATGAGAAACAAAGTCATATATGGATCACATGAAAAGTTCTGTCAACCTTATTAACATCAAATGGACCAAAAATGAAACTTGATTTGAAGTGTAAGGGTTAAAAGGGTCAAAGTAAGATTTTTGATAAAAAAAGTGTAGAGTGCTAAATGTAATTAGTTAACATAAACAACAAAATTATCTATCTTTCTAACTGAATAAGATTTTAAATGAGTTGGTGGTTAATAATTCAATACCTTGGAGAGCCACTGGAGCGAGTAAGAGGAGTGCGTGAGGTGGACATAGGACTTGGGGAATAACCGGCCATGAAAAGAACCCAGTACTCCAGCTGCAAAGTATTGGCTGCCTTTTGACAGGCACTTGAAAAGCGTGTTGAAATCGTTGGAAGCATGATTGTTGAAGAGTACTTGAAACTCGAGAGCTTCTGAATCGAGACCATGACATTGGCACACGAGTTTTACAGATTCGATGATGTTCTGCACCGCGATGAACGTGTTGGGACCGACAGAACAGTCCAAATCTACAATTTTGAAGGAGTTTGAAGAAGATGACACACGGTTGAGTTGGTTTACATCCAGGTTATCAACAATTGCAGCATTCATCAAGGACTTGGCACTCTCAACTGCATTTCTCTGGAAAAGTGTGTTTCAAGTTATAGATTTTGATGTTTTGGAATGGATTCAACAGCAAAACAAATGTGAAAATTTACATCCTTTTTGACATCATGATTTGAATCATAAATGCAACAGTTTTTCTACTTAAAACGCAAGTCAATTACAAAATTGGACACAATTCTCTTGTATGACTATCTCACATGTAGCTGTGAATTGTATACAAAAAAAAAAAATCATTCTAAGAATACAGCAATCAATCACGTTACACAGCCTTTTAACAAAGTTTCATACTTATATAAAAATATCTAATATGATTGGTTTATGTGCATTTAGAAAAACTGATGAAATTAATAGATGCTGTGGGGGCAAGAAGCTGAAATTGAATTACCTGTAAAGAGGAATTCTGGGTGTAACTATGAGGACCATCTCCTCCAACCATGGGAAACGACATGGATGATGTGTCAGCCATTTCTCTCTCTCTCTCTCTCTCTCTCTCTCTTAATTATAATATATTTGTGTGTGGTGCTTTGGATGTGTATATGACATACGATAGAGAGGCAAAGGCCCTATTTTTTTTTTTTTTTTTTTCTTTTTTTTAACAGGGAGACAAAAGGGCGTACTTTGGTGTAGTTTTTTATATTAAAAATTAATAATTAGAAAATAGAAATTAAAAATATTCTTTCTTTAGTTTTTAAATAATCATTTTTTTTAATTTATTTAAGTTAATTTTACCTAATAAATTATAAGTAAAAAGTGATTAAACAATCTAATACAAATTAAACTATAATCACTTTCTAAAAACTTTACCAAACAGCCCGAAATGGTGAGACTCCACCCATTTGCAACGGAATTAAAATTTGTTAATTTGCATATCATTATTTTTATTAAAAAAAGTATTTTTTACAGAAAATATTTAACATAAATGTCATCGAAAAAACCATTGGAAAGAATTTTTTTCTAAAAGACTAAGGCCTCGTTTGGGAACAGGCTAATTTAGTAACTTTTTGACTATTTGGTTAAAAAAGTAGGTAAAAAAAACTTATATGTTTGGGATGACTTTTTGACTAATTACAAAAAGATGTGCAAAAAGTAGAGAGAAAAGAGAATCTTTGACTTTGTGGTATGACTTATTGACTTTTTGGCTAAAAAAGTAACTTTTTGACTTTTTAGTTAAAAAGGTAAGTCCCCAAACGGGGCCTAAACACATATTTTCAAAAATCAACTGCGGAAAGATTCAGCTTATGATCACTTTTCTGGATGCGTTCGGTTTGCAGAATGGGAAGCATCCAATAGGAATCAGGATTCTCTTTTTAAGGTTTCTACTTGACTTTTTACTTGAGAGGTTACTGGGCTTATTTTTAGGTTTAATTTTGATAATCTGAACCGTCATATTTTAAGATTTGTTGAGTATATCATACCTGTAAAAAATCAAGTTAGTGGGATATCAGAAAACATGTATTCGGAAAACTAACTAAAAACTATTTTTTTTAAAAAATTAATAAACAGTTTTTGAACACATACTTTCTGATATCCGATCAACTTGATTTTTTTACAGGTATGATATATTTAATAAATCTTAAAATGTGAACGGTTCGAATTATCGAAATTGAGCCTAAAAATAAGCCCAATAGCCCAGCAAGTAAGAAGTCAAGTAAGAACCTCAAAGAGAGGATCTTGATTCAATAGAGGGGGTTTGCAAGTGAAAATTCACACCCACTTTGTAGTCCATTGTTTATCAATGACAAAGAATTTGACCCTTATAAAACATCATCAACGGTGCATTAAATTATTTATTAAATTTGAATAAAAATTTGAGAAAAAGATTTATTTGATATTAAGGGTTTCAACAGAGATTTTTAAAGTTTTATCAAGACATCGGTCGATCAGATGGATGTTTGGCTTGTTGACCAGCCAGTGTAAATTTTGCATAAATTTTGGTCTTGAGGTGGTTATCCGAGGGTCGACCGAGCAGACTACCGGACGGATGACCGGTTGATGGACCAGCCAGTGTAATTTTTTCATAAATTTTTGTCTTGAGGTGGTTATCCGATGGTGAAAATTCAACGATAATAAACAGTGATTTGATGAAAGACATATTGGTTCTCAGTTTGATGAAAGAAAAGTAAAATCCAAAATTTGATGATAGATAAAAGAACTATTTTGAGAAACTATTAAATGTGGAACATGGAAGTATGGCAATATGGGAAGAAATAGCTAGTAATACGATAAACTAAGACTATAGGTTCTATCGATGGATTAGAAATTTTGAAGTGGAGATTGCACTTAAGAAGATGAAATCAAATGAGGCTTTAGGACTCGATGATATCCCTATTGAAACTTGGAAGTGTTTGGGTAAAAAAGGGATTGCTTGATTGACTCGGTTGTTTAGTAAAATTTTGTTGACTAGAAACATGTCAGATGTGTAAAGGAAAAGTATTTTAGTACCAATTTATAAGAATAAAGGAGATGTCTAGAATTGCAACAACTATAGAAGAATCAAACTAATGTATCATATAATGAAAGTGTGGGAAAGGGTGATAGAATGCCGATTGAGAGATATAATAGAGATGTCAGAGAATCAATTTGGGTTTATGCCTAGCAGACCAACAATGGAAGCGATCTATCTTTTGAGAAGAGTAATAAAAAAATATAGAGAAAAGAAAAGAGATATTCATATAATGTTTATCGACCTTGAGAAAGCTTATGATAGAGTACTCCGGGATATAATACGGTGGGTGTTAGAAAAGAAATGAGTGACAAAATGTTATATTGATGTTAGGGACATGTATGAAGGGGTGGTGACCACTATTAAATCGCTTGTTGGAGAGACAAATGAATTTCCTATCACTGTATGGTTACACTAAGGATCTACCTTAAGTTCTTATCTTTTTGCTTTAGTTATGGATGAGCTGATGATAAATATTCATGATGACGTGCCATGGTGTATACTTTTTGCAAATGATATCGTGCTAATAAATAAGACTAGAGAAGGAGTTAGCACAAAGTTAGAGATTTGGATAAAAGTTCTTGAATCTAAAGGATTTCGGATAAGCAGAACTAAGACAGAGTACATGGACTGTAAATTTAATAATAGTATCAATGAAAGCAAAGGAGAAGTGAAGATTGAGAACCAAGAACTGCTTAAGAGTGAACATTGTCGTTATTTAGGGTCGATTATCACAACAACGGGAGAGATTGATGTGGATGTGGCCTATAGGATTAAGGCGGGATGGTATAAATGGAGAAGTGAGTCTGGGGTACTGTGCGATAAACGAATACCCACTAGACTAAGAGGTAAGTTCTATAGAATGGCTATTAGGCCAGCGATGTTGTATGGGATGGAGTGTTGGGCAACCAAAAAATAACTTATAGATAAGATGAGTGTGGCTGAGATGAGGATGCTAAGATGAATGTGTGGCAAGACTAGACAAGACAGAATTATGAATGAGTGTATTTGAGAAAGGGTAGTGTAACGCCCTCAAAATAAACCCATAAATCATCCAACAATAACATGTTTAGACATAGGAAAATAAAACATAAATATATTCCATCAGAGTAATCATTACAAAATATATTATATGTTGATAACAAAAGTAAATGCCCTATGGGCTTACAACTTTCTAAGTTAACACTTGGTTACAAAAAAAGCGTACTAACTCTATACAAAGAAAGCCCTTGGCTTGATATATATGTAATACATCAAAAGAAAACAAAACAACAGAAACATTCTGTCTGCTTCTAGCCTCCCAAGCTATGTCCTTGGAGGTGGCATGCTACCTGTACCTGAAAATGATGTCCCATAAAGGGTGAGCCACAGCTTAGTAGAAATATACTAAATCAACTATGAACAATGACTAAAGTAATAGCTTTCAATAGATGGTCCACACTTGTATTCTAACGTATGTCGTATTACAGTTTCACGGCAGTCATGCCCATGGCACACTTCAGTTTCCATTTCTTATTCAACTTTGGGTTTGAAAACAAGGCTTAGAACCTAGCCAAATGACTTAATGAGATTAAGACTCATCTTTAAAACACTTTCGAAATTCATGATGGATATATATTTTGGTGCTGTATCAATAACACATAGAAACACTTCTATACTTCACAATTGATAAGGATATACATTTTAGTGCTATATCAAATCAATTCAAACACTTCCATAATCCACACTTGATACACATTATAGTGCTGTATCAATATCACACAAAATCCATTTTAGAGGTCCATCCCCTATCTTCCCCTAAACCGTGGAGTACATCCCCTATCTCCTCTCACACACAATGTATATAAATAGAGATCATATACATAATCAATCAATATATAAAGTTAATGTATTATTCCAGCAGCTATACTCAATAGCATACTCAATCGATTAGTTTTAGTTTGCTTAATCATCATGCATTGTTTACAACAATCAAGACTATCCTTCACCGATAGCCCAAAGCAGTTATTTCTAAATAGAAAATAAATGCACCAAATGGATAAAATATCAATATTTCACCTAGGTGAGTGATAAATGATCCAACTGCACCCTTTAATCCCATACGTTCCCAATTTCAACATTCTTAATTCAACTTCTCATTTCTCAAAATTACATTCATAAATTAATTCATTAATGTAATTAGGGCATTTCCCATAATTAACAAAACAACCCTAAGGTTCCATTTCTATCAATAACCCAACATTTATCTCATTTCTCCATGCTAAACATGCATATAGGCTTATATGAATAAAACCCGTCTTTTGTAAAATTACACAAAGACCCAAACTTTTTCAAAATTACCCAACAATCCCCAACATATCAAAATGTTAAAATTTAAAGACAAAGCTCATAAGGAGGAGTAGGACATCCCTACCTCGAAGTTAGAGCTCAAATGGAGAAGAAGACCAAAACCAAAGTGTTCCAAACTCCAACATTTTCGGATCAAAATGAAGCCCTCAACGATCAACACGCTTTTTACAAAGGCCGAAAGATAGGAGAACACTCTAACTAGATCAAACCCTAGAGAGAAGGGAAATCCTAGAGAGAGAGGTTCTGAAAAGTGTTTTTAGAAAGTAAGAGAGAGAGAGTGAATGTAAAAAAGTGATTAAAAAATGCCCAGCTGCCCATTGATATACGACACTTCCGCTCGAGCGGAGAATAGAACGCTCGAGCGTCAAACACAAAAATCTGGACACGCTCGAGCGCAAGAATGCCCGCTCGAGCTCCAAGACACAAAAATAAAATACATCCGCTCGAGTGCGAAAACCAGCCCGCTCGAGCGTAGATTTTCCCCTTCCAGAACTTTCACAAACAAAGCACTATTCGCTCGAGCGCCAACATACTCGCTCGAGTGTAGGAAACCCGCTTGAGCGTGAAAAACACACCTGCAGAAGTTTTGCAGGGACATGAGATACTGGGAGTGTGTAAATCCCGCTCGAGCGCAAGAAGGCCCGCTCGAGCAGACAACCAAAAACCAAACTCCGCTCGAGCGCACACTTTTTACAAAGGCCGAATGATAAGGGGACAC